CAAACATTCAGCTTTCATATGCATCTTTTGGATTATTTAAAAGTATTATAGTTTTCGAGAAAATCAATGAAATATGAAAACACTGATTTTTCAAGCATTTTTTCAAATTTGAACGCTAATTACAGCCAAACGGATAAAACCACAGTAATATATCAATACTTGCTACATTCCCCAAACATTCAGCTTTCATATTCATCTTTTGGATCCATTCTGTCTATTACAGTTTCTGTTTCAAGCATTAATTTTATTATTTATATATAAATATATATATAAATAATCCAATCTATTGGTTACAAAACCGCAATAGTTTTGATTAGATAAACTTATTTAAAAAAATATGGTAATCAGTATAAATGCTCGATGAAATATAAGTTGCGCATTTATAGTCCATAAACAATATTGGGCACTGTTTCGATGGACGCTTAAACACGGAACACTTAAAAGAAATCAATAATATTCATACGGTGAACTAATGGAAGGAGAGAAATAATTCAAAACATTTTAGTACAAACCACTAAAGAACACACACATTTGTTTCTCAACTATGTTTTATTTTATACATTTCTAGTTTACCGTAGGAAGAAGTTATTTTTGTACTATATTTGCTTATATGTTGATTATATGAAGAAACAAAGTTGTAGAGCAATTTTTTTATTTTGTTAAAGTTTTACTGTGACTGAGAAATTTTTATTTTTCTGTTATTAAAAACGATAATCTTTCTAATTTTCCTATTAACTCTTTTATAATATGATTTTATTTTATATAAAGTTTTTTTTGAAAATTATCATGAAAATTATATTGTGAAATATTGGTTGAAATTGAAATTATGTAGTGACTAAATTCAGTTTGTATCTTAATATGTTTTGAGGCAATTTTACGTTGAGTGTATTAAATATAGAGTGGATTCGAGAGGTTTCTGCTCTGATTGAGTTTGCGATGAGGACAACAGGTATTGCGAATCAATACACCCGGGAAACGCGAAGGGCGAATATTGTTTCTCTTCCAATTAGCTTCAGGTTTTAGATTTCTTCAACGTTCGTGCCTTTGGGGAGGCGATAGGAAAACTGCCGAATCTATTTATAGTTGTTATTTTTGATGAAGGCATGACCACCCCATGCGATTCTGCCATTTGATTAATTCCTGTAGATCGGCCGCCTTTGCATTGATTTCCAGCGACCGTTTTTGACGTTGATCCGATCATGTCAAAGGGAATCAAATTTGCTCGCGTCACAAGCAAGTGTGGAATGGGGCAGCATCATCATTGTCATCATCATCGTATCGAATCATGGTTTTCTCGTGGGGGGACGGCAAACACTGGAAAATAGGTTACGATGGCGGCGGAAGAGTTGCAGATGATGGTGGTGGTGGTGGAGGCGTCGGGGGAAAGGGCGTCGCGGCGCACCAACATCGCTCCGGCGTCGCGGCGACCAAAACCCGGCGGAGCGAGCAGTGCAGATGCGACCGATCCTGCGTTGCCGCCGGGAAGTCATCAGCGTCTCATCAGAGGAAGAAGTGCTGCAGAGCGATGGAACGCAAGGAACAGCTGCGGCTGGACTTCGAGCAGCAGGAGCAGCTCAAGAATCAGATCGATGACTTCAAGAAGGATCCGGAGAAGATGCAGGATTTGAACGCGTTTCTCGACGACGTCGTCGAGAAGGCTGCGGTGGAGGCCACCACACGCCAGCTCAAGAAGTCCAAAACAGTTAGTACAGAGAATCATAACATCATCATCATCATCATCATTAGTTTGCTGCACATTAAATAGAAGCCCGTTTTCATTCAATCAAACAATACAAAACTAACTATTTAAAGGCATCTTCATCTTCAATACACATAAATATTTCAAACTTTAATTAATGAAACGACAATTAATTTCTACACTTATGAAGACAATTCATACCATAATAACTAAAACATCGATAGTAATAACATATCGAAGCCAATCAATATAATGAACTGGTAATAATCATAACAACAGTAGCTTGTTGCGCACGAAATAGCTCATCTTCATTCAAACTATAATATGTAACAAAACTTTACAAAATTTATTCCCAGAAATTATCAGGAAGTCTCTTAAACTCGATGTAGTCTAGACGCTTGAATAATTAATAAGAAGTTAAAATCAAGATCCAAGAATAATATTGAACACTTATGTTCAATTATTTAGTTGATTACTTAATATTTTATTATTTAAACATAATAATCTACATTATTTTAAATTGAACAATTTTAGAGCAATTACTGTTTATCAAATGTAACTTTAATTTTGATGTTGTTTTAATGATGAAAGTACTTTGTTTAGATTTCAACTAATGCAATTAATATTTATATAATTACAACAATTAACAATGAAGGATAAATGATATGTTTAATGAGCTGTTTCATGTGCAATTGTGTAGTGGGCAAAATCAAATTAGTTGCACAATAATTGCTTGTTATTGTATATATTTATTTCTTTATTATTATAACGTTGAATCGATACCTGAAAACCCAATTTTATTTTTCCATTTTTCCAGGACCCCTTCAGCGGCTTGCAAAGTGAGTATCTTTCGAATTTTGGAGCGAAAACCTGTGGATCAATAGTCCGAGCGCATGACCCATCATTGACGTGTCTTTCCGTTGCACCTCGCCGCAATTCCCATCGTCTGTTTGTCTCTCTCACACTGTTTTTCCATTGCGTTTCGCAGAAAAAAAGAAAATTATGTCCTAGATCTCATTAAAATTGCATTCAATCTTATATAATTTACACAATATGAAAGAGAATTTAATAAGAAAAAAAAACATTTCAGTTTTAAAAATCAAATTGTTTTGCAAATTTGTGTTTTGTGCAAAATTTGGATTACTTAAGAACTTAATTTTGATAATCAAATTTACAACTTTTACTTTATTTAATTATCTAAGATGTGTGTGTTGTAAAGTTTCTTGTCAATTGAGTCAACAAAACATTGTGAAAATGGACATTAGTAGACATTAATGAATGTCTCGTTTTTCGGTCTGATTCTCTGTGTTTTTCTAGATGGGAGCAAACGCATCGGTGCGTCTATAAACAAGGCGAAAACCTCTGCAAAGACGTTTGCAACGCGCGTCTTCACGGCGATCTGCAACTGCACCAATTCAGTGAAGAGCGCCGTCATCAACAAGCATTAGATTCGAAAGGAAGCCGGTCTCTCTCGCGAACTTTCTGCAAAAACTAAAAAAAAAAATCCCCACACAAAAGAAAACAACAAATTGTATAATCAACACAACAATATTCAGACTAACTTTTGGTCAATTACGTACAAGAACAACAGCAACAAAAAATTGCACAGGAATTAAATTTATGATTTGTCTATCTTTTTGATGAGATTTTATGCGTATTTATATATACAAGTGGCGAGAAGGGTACATAATACATATATATATATTTACACGTTATTGATATTTCGATCCGGACGTTAAAAAAAAAATACAGGAAATTGACAATCAACGGCGACGCGAGAGGATGAAGTAATGAGAAGAAGGGGTTGAAATTGGGGGGTTTGTCTTCGGTTCCTGCCTACTTTGCAAATAAAACCATGAAATAATAATCCTCGATGTGTGTTTTGTGTAGCAATAAAATTCTATGGATGTTATTGTTTCTTAGAGTTTTAATGTTTTGCGTTTGTCGGTGTACAAAAATGAATCTATATAAAATGAAGAAGATGATTGTGTGATATAACTATACATATGTATAATTTTAATATAATTTAAATCTATTTTATCTTAAACGAGTAAAAAGTCTTATAATTATTCAACCTTTCCTCAAATTATATTATTTCCCATTTGCGTTAAAAAAACATAATAAATATTAATAGTAAAGTACAAATACATTCGGTTATGGTCAAATCATTAATATGTTTACTTTGTAATCATTGAATAATGAATATGAGTAAATATTTGAATTCATACAAATTACTTTAGTTTGATGGTAAAATGTTATAAGTTAAACTTAAAACGTAATGTTTTTATAATCATCAAATACTGTTCATTTGGTAGCAGCATGAAGAAAGAACGGGAAGAGGAGTATCTGCTGGCAATGCAAAAATTCATCTCGTTTCTTCACTTCACCAAATACGACGATCCCAAATTCCGTTTGCAAACCTTGATCTTCATTGCTATAATATTGTTTCCAATGATTTGCTGTATTTTCCACGTCTTCTACGTTGAAGGTGATTATAATAACATTGGCGAGATTGTTTTATTTTAATATTTATCTTAACAGTCTTCACTTTAGATGTCCTTTTAAAGGATCTTAGTTTGGAACTATCTGGTGTATTGATATTCAATCTCAACGTGTACTTGTTTATTAAAAAAGGACAATTGCGCGATATTCTTGGAAAAATCATGACTTTCGATCACGGTCGGACGCCGGAGAGTTTAAAGAAATTGGATCAAAGATTGAATAAGTTGGTTCAGAACATATTCTGGTGGTTCTTTGTACCATTGAATATGGTAAAAGATATTTCGATTTACAGCAATTTCTTTACTTTTTCACCGTGCCCTGAGCACGTGAACACCTGGTGCGGATTACTGATGGAAGTGGTGAGATCTTTAAACAGATTAATTAATAATATTGTGACGGATTTTCTTTAGGCTTTTCCTTTCGATGTGTTTTATTCTCCTGTGAGACAGATTGTGTGTTTCTTTCAAATCATCGGAGCTTTGGGTCTGTTTCTATCTGCAGTCTACATAGTATTATATTCATGTTTCATGCACGATCTCCTTGCACACAGGATTAAAATCATGAAACGCGACATCTCGCAAATTCCGTTTATTAAGCAAGGTGATGCTCGTCGAAATTATTTCAGAACTTTTGTTCGACACCATCAAAAGGTTATAGGGTAATTAAAAAAACTTAATTTTTAATTACAGATGAATAACAAAGCTATTGCAGTTACAGCGAGCAGCTCAATGATATAACTGGAACCATGGGATTCGTGTCAGTTTTAATTATGGCCACGAATATCGGTATCCAATGCTTCATACAGATGAGAGTTAAATAATCCAATAAATGTTAAATCATTTTATTTATTGTTTTCTTTTAGAAATTTGATACAACGACGATGATACATTTATCTGGATATTTCTTATGTTTGATGGCCCTGTCATCATCCAGTGAAAATTTAGCTGAACACGTTTGCATACTACTAATCCATTAGATGATTACACAAATAACTATTGCGTTTTCAGTCTTCGGATTTAGGTCTGGTCGTGTTTCAATCGATTCCTTACGACGGTTGCGTGCGTTTGCAGAAAGACATGATGTTCGTTATACAGAGATGCAATAAACCTTTGATTTGGAGCGCCGGAAAGTTCGGCCCATTTTCCAGGGCTTTAGTAACTGGGGCAAGTGTACTTTCAAAATCAAAACAAACCTCATGAGTTTTTCTAATTTATTTCAGATTTTAAAAAGTGCTTTCTCTTTAATCAGTATTTTTCCATATCTAGAGAAATAGGTTTGAGTAAAATCTAACTTATCACAATATAATCGATGCAATTCACTGTTAAAGCTTATACTAATCATTGTAATAATAGATTTAATGAAAATCACAAATAATCAGTTACAATTGTATAATCACACATTTTCACCACAATTTTAATTATAACGTTGATTAATAAAATAATTTTAAATTTAAATTACTGTTTGTTAATTTGGTTGCATGCTTTTAAAGTACAAACCATATTACGTGCTGCTTTTCCATCTAACGGATAATTTTACAACGCTGTAGTTCAGCTGTTTTGGCGCTGCTCAAATTTTCTAATTGTTCTATAGGCAACCAAATTCACTTATTATCAATTGATATATAATTGCGTAATTGCAAAGAAAGTAATTAGTTATTACTTATACTGATTAAACAAATAATTACCAAGATAAATACAATTAAATTTAAATTATTTATGTAAAATTTGCTTTCAAATAAATTATGTATGAAGAATGTTTGAAATTATTATAAAACTTATTAATAAGTTTTGTTTACATTTAAAGGATTTTGATTAAGAGCGTGAAAAGGGAATACCATAATTTTAAAACCTGAAAAAAAATGAGCTCTGGATATTTTTACTTATTCTGGATATTGATCTTACCGAAAGCATGAAGGGTCTGCTGTACGTTGTGAATTTACCGATGCGTAAAGTCAAAGCAACGTTCGTCCTCGTCATCATAAAAAGCATGTCCTTCTGTAGTTTCAGATCCCCGTCCCAGGGAACGGATCCGAAGATAACAAACGAGATATTTATACTCTGAAAGATGTAAACAGTCTGAAGAACTTGTTTCAGTGAAAAATACTAATTACATTTTCATAAAGATGCTCTCCTGCTGAAGCGCTCAAATGGAGCGGAATGAAATACAAAACGCCGTGCCAAAACGGCAAGTATTCAAGTTTCTGAAAATCAAAGTAATTACTTCAATTGGAAGATAAAATGTTTTAATTAGGTTTCACCACGATGGCTTCGCACGATATTAAGCTCAGGATAATTGCGGTGATGCAAACGTATAACAAGTAGAGGTTTTCCGAAAAGTTTGATAATCTAACAGAAAATCTGCAAATTATGTATTTTGATTATTTAACACTGTTTAATGATATGATTAATTACTCTATGATATTTTGATGATATCTGATGCAATACTTCATATGCTCGTTTCTAGCCCAACCGCGCTCCATTGACCTCAACTCCATCAGCAAACTCTTTAAATGTATGATGCGATGCACTATGTGATCGCTCATGAACGTGGTGAAGATTATGATGTAGATAGTACCGCAACCAATACACGTACCGGTCGTGTTCACTATAAGAACGATGCATTCCCTCATCGGAAAATAGAAAATATCGAAAGGATATACCTGAAATAACTATTTAATAAACTGGAAAAGAGAATTAAAAAAAAGATACGCACTAAATTAACGGCTAAACCGCATCTGTTGACAACATGATCTGGACAACGTTCAAACTTAAATTCTCTTGTAAAAGTGTGTAACAGAACGGCGATGTAGGAAGGTATCATCCAATATCTGATGAGCAGTTCCGAAATGCGATTGAATTTTCTATCTAAGACGAGAACAGTTTTGGGTTCTTTGAAAGACTTAAGATCACCTAAATCTTTTAGTAAAGCTTTGACGTCGTCGTGTTTCAAGTAAAAGTAGATTTGCACAAGCATTCCAAAAACAAAGCCGACAATTATGGATAAATCAGTAGATAGATGATTGAAGCTAAATCCGAAGTTATCTTAAAAAGAAAACGATTGATCAAATCAATCAAATTGAATAATATTAAATATACTTATGTAATATATCATATGGCCGATGGGACCGTACAGGGTGAAACATGAGGCTACAAGAAAACTTATCCCAATAAAGTAATGCAGTTTAGATTTCGTGTCCGTCCAAATGGATAAAAAACGTAAAACGTTGACGGGATGCTCCAATAACTTGACCATTTCTGCTCTACAGTAAACCGAAAACTAATCTACTCTCAGCTTACTTAATGGCTTTAAGCGTGATTGCCTTGCTATTAGATTTAATGGTCGCATTACATTACATGGTATTTATCAATAGAGTGACAAGTGAATAGCAAAACCTGAGTATCTATTAAAAGTAATTAAGTAATGATTATGGTGATTCAAGATTATTCATAGGAAACCTGTAAAAAGAAGACATTGGAATAGTCGACGACACCACCCAACCGCATGACCAGCCGCTTTTGGCTTCGGATCATCATGAAGAGCATATCCTTCATCAATTGGATATCGCCATCCCAAGGTATCACCGAGAACACAGTTTCGCTCACATCCAAACTCTTAAACATGATAATAACGTATAAGATTATTAGAACTCCTTTAATATACAATTTTGGATTGATTGAATTAAATCACGAGCGTTTCATTTAGAAGACTTACATGGCGTTGGATGTGTTCACTGGTTAAGCTTGAGAATAACATAATGATAAATGGGATAGCTATATATATAGCGTATAAAATAGAGAATTGCTAGAAGATGAAATATTAAAGGAATTTAGATGCAATCGTATTGCGTACTTTGACAAGTTTAAAAGTGGCGATGGTCATGATGGAAATAGGACCGCAAGCCATCAAAGTTATGAAATAGTAGTAAGATTCGTTCAATTTTTCGCATAGGCTAAAAAAACAGATTTAACTGTGTATGGTTTTAGTGAAAAACTAACAATTTTATGAAATTAATTGCAACACTTACCCGATTATAATTTGATGGTATCGCACGCAAGAAACGAAATGTTCCCTGCGCCTCCACCTATCTTTTACATATTTTATCTGCAACAACATAAACTTCAAGTGTATAATCCTATTGGTGATTAAATCATAGTGGAAACAGCAAAATGTACATATAAATATCGTCCCTATAGTTCCGAAAGTCGAAGAAAGAAACTGCAGGACAAGTATTATCTCACTGTACGGAGATACCGACACCTGCATCCCATAAATAAATTATTAAACCGAGAGAGGATCACTGAATTTTACCTTCTCATAAACAATATAAAAGGATTCGTTGTTCGAATATGGAACAAACGTAAAATTATTGGTAATCATAAGACTGACTACGAGGCAGATGTAAACAATGAAAAAACGTTGCATATATTTTAAAGAAATATTCAATTTCCGATTAAAAGACTCGTGTTTGAGTGGAACGGAGCAGTTCGAAAAATCGCAAACGAAGCTCCAAAGATTTTTAACGGCAACTTGTTTGTGGTAAAAATGTGTTAAACAGATGATAGCATTGGCTGAAGTCACAAAATCCATCATCCTGCGAATCATCAAATCCAAATCGTATCGAGCATCTACAATTGAAAAAGTAATTTAAGTTTCAGTACTCATCACCTATCCACAACTTGAAGTTAACATTGAATATAATCTAATTATTGGGCATATTGAAATCCATATGAGTACTAAACAGAAACCAATCAGAGATTTCTTATTTCCTTCTTCACTCCACAATAGAAACAATTTCAATACTTTTATATTAGTCTGCAACAACTGAAGCCTTTTACCATACATCTTCAATAAATACAAAATTAGTACATTAAATCACAATTTTCCTGTTTATATATACACGTAAATGGGTGCACTTAAAATCTCATTTGCTTGCATAATTCAGGGTGAATAAATCTCATCAACTTACTTAAAACAAAATATATATATGTATTTAATATCTAATTAGCTTGCATAATTCAGGGCGAATAAATCTCATCAACTTACTTAATACAAAATATATATGTATTTAATATCTTAATTAGGATCGGAATAATATGGAAAATGCCATGACTAAACAACCAACTGAGATGTATGGTGAAATCCTTTCTCCTATGCGGGCGCATTTCCAGAATGTTGCTGATATACTAAAATTAAAAGTATTTTAAAACTTTGTGTTCTTCATATCTAAGCACTTACACTCACCCCACTTTGTGTCTATCCATAAATGTGGGGAAAAGCCCCCGGAGGTAAGCACAGGTGCATATTAATAAAAGTACTACAGTGAGAAGACTTTGGAAGTTGAATAAGGCAGACTGCAAGAATAAACACATATTAATTAGGTTTTGAGTAGGATTTCATTTACTCACCATCTTTTTATTAGAAATAAATATTTAAAGTCCTCCAATGTTTACTACTACGCCTGGTTGCCACACGTCAGTGACACGTGGTGCTAACTTCAGTTCGAAGATTATTTGAACTACTTATATTTAAATATTAAAGAGACTTATCAACAGGATGCAAGGGAAACTTCTCTCCTAAGTTTATATCAGATTATACAGGAATTCTAGCTGAAATTTGAATATGTTTATGTAGTCCCATACCTAGTTTATAACAGTACTCATTTATTTTAATATTGGATAGTGATTTTTTGAGTAATGAAAGATATTCGAAAAATCATCATATTTCAGTTATTAATTAACATTACGTAACAATTGTATTATGAAAAGGTGCACTATAAAAGATGTAATAATAAAATACATCAAAAGTTGTAGATTATTTAAATTATTCTGTAAAATTTAAAAATCTTAATAATAATAATATTTTGGAAAAAATCTAATATATTTCAAGACATAGCCGAACCTCGATTACTAATTAGTATTAAGACCACATTATAGACTATATAAAAAATTAAAATCAAAAGTTTTTAATATTTGTAATCTTAAGTTAATAATTTAAAACAAAATTTTGAACAATTGTTTTAAGTTTAGTTTAGTAACGTTTTTATATTAATGATTTATTTTTAGTTAATTTATTTTAATTAAAGTCTAATAATAAGTTACATTTTACAATGCGTATCCGTCTTTGAAAAAGAAATAAAGTTCGTCAACATGCAAGTCTTTTGTATGCATATCGACTGATTTGAATGTGTAATATGGGATGTGACTTGTGTCTGCGGAATTCGAAATTCTTTTATTTTTGTATCATTTGTTTTCTTCGCATTTTCCCATTGGCTGGAAAAAAATTCCATTGTAATTTAGATTTCGTTATGGTTTCTTTAATATTTAATATGGTTGCTATGAAAAAAAAAGTACATTATTTTTATGTGTTTTTCGTATACTTTATGTGTATTTCACAGCTAAATACTGTTATTATTCAATCAATAAGTGTTGGGGCTAATCTAAATTTAGTTTAGCCGTGATTGGAAATTGCATTTAATACATGTTCATCGATGTCGCTCGTTGATGAATTTTTGATATGATGTTAGGTATAGATGGACGCTTAATGTGCCCGACCTATATTTATTAATTAGTCAAAGACTGCTGATGAATGCACGTGCATGCATATATGTGGAAGCCGTGACGCGCATAGGTAGTTAGTGGAGGTAGACAGCAGGTAGATGGGTAACAACCAGAGGTAGAGGTAGTAAGAGGAAGAGAAAACTGGTTGGTCGACCGGCGTCGTGGTGGGAGCTTACGAAGCTCGGGTCATTCGAAAATGTGTTTCGTGTGAGAGGAGAGAGCGTTCCGCGTTTGCACGAGAGAGCCGTTTATCCACGACCGCACAGTGAATCATCGAATACCTTACGTCACCTGAAATTACATTACACCTGCAACATAAGTTGATATCAATAAATTGCAGACAACGTGGGACGAAGAAGAAGAAGAAGTAGAGTAACTGCAAGAAAATGAATCCAGCGTGCTTGGCGGTACTCTTCCTCTCGGTCTTCCTCATAACTCCATGTAAGTGTACACATTCTCTGCCCATCAACATTTCTATGGTAACACCGTCGCCCACAACAAACAATGTTTTGTTGATGTTTGCATTCCGGTCACGCCTCTTGTTTTGCTTAGTTTCTGTTTCTATTTGCCGCGGCAATTCAAATAGAAACAAAAACAAAAGAATGAAATGAAGAAACGCGCCTCTGCGATTACCAATTTATCTACAATTGGACACAACAATAGAGGAGGTCAGAGATTCAGAAAAAAAATTCAATTGATTGCGTCGCATTAATCAATCAATTCAAATTAAAAATCAATAATAAACAATGCTTTAGTCAAGAATTCATCATCATCATCATTGCATATTATTCATCTTCATTGTAAGTTTCTGATTCATAGGAAGTAAACAACATCCTATGAGAGGTTTATTTCTGATTTAATATTATTATTATAAATTTTCCATACTTGTTTAATTTATAATTACAACTCGAGAAATAATCATTTTTTATTATTTCTTTTTAATAAATTAATTAAAAAATAAAAAAGTTTTGAATGTCTCGAAAAACAAACCCGTTTCAAGTTTATTGTATCAATAACAAATATTATTTGTTTATTATTTCATTATTATAAATGTCTTATGTTTTAATTGATAATACTTTATATCTAATGTACATTGACTAAAAACATCGCATTTCCTGTTTAGATCCAACTTCTAATTTTTATTTTTATCATTAAAACTATTCATTTTACATAAATTACGTCTTTTATAAATATACGCTTAAAAGCAAAGAAACTACTGGATTGAAGGTTGATATCTTTGTATGTAATAAAATTTCTATCGGAATGGGGTCGCACTACGTGGTTATGAAACTAAATCGTATTCAGTTTTCTTCAATCCATTGTATTGTAGTTGTTGTAAATTACAAAAATATAACTATATTTAAATAATTAAAGTTCAATTTTAACAAGTAAAATTATTAAAATTTCTCAAAAAAAATATATATTAAATTAAATTAAACTATGAAATTAACAGCAAATTTTATTTGCTCTTTTAATTACTATTTAATCTGTATATTGAGACGTGTAAGTTCTTGAAGTTAAGTATTTAGTTAATGTAATGTAGATTTAGATGCATTCCGCTCGCATTAAAGCCTCGTTATATGTCGGATGCGAAAGCTTTGATCCCAGGAAATAATTAGTGAAATTGACTGAAAGCCACCCCTCATTACCCTTATCCTCGAGCAAAGCAATCCATACACTCCAGTTCAATCATCAAGATCTACAGAAAACGTAGATTTCCAACGGAAATAACGGCACTGTTTCTTTCCGCTAGCTTTTTCAATTCCATTATTTGTTTTGCCATCTCCTCAATCCACACCCCACTCCCAACACCCCTTTTTCCGTTCCTTGCGTCTTTTGTGCACCCTTTTCGCTTCCACCTTTTGTTCACATTTGCACGCTTCGCCGACGATTGTCGCGAAGTCGGGATGCGAGCGAGAGCTAAATAAATAAAATTGTATTTTGGAGGAAACGGGGAGCGCGGATGGAAACCATTATTTCCGTTTCACGCCCCCCGCATTCAGTCAAAAACAGCCGTCCCATCCCACTAAATGGATTAAACGTGTTCGGCACGTATCGATTGCGGGGAAATACTAATTTTTTGGAGGACGAAATTAATAAAAAAACTGGCCCGAAGCCAGTGCATCCTCCCTCACAATTCGAGAGCAAAAAGTCAACAGTGGATACTACTACCGTTGCCTGTCGCTGCCGCTAATGAAGCCCTCCGCCCTGAATTATTCATGACGTTTAAAGAGCAGCCCTTACGGATGTGTCTCTCCTCCGCACTCGCCCGATTTGCATTTCCGACTTCGTTTCAATATTTTACTCCTCCCAGAAGTTTTGCAATCCAATTTAGCTCCTGTCGTCGAAGTTGCCGTACTTCTCTCTCTCTTTTTCTCTCCATTTACATCTCAGATCTATGGGAAGACATTTGTCGTGATCAATCGAGCGTATCGAACTTGTATTTTCTTCTTGCAGCTCTTGGAATCAAATGCTATAGATGCACGGGGACGGACGACGACGATCCCTTCCAATGCAACGAATGGCTCGATAGCGACATCGATATTGTGCCAAAGGGTTGCGATGATGTCTACGATGCTAAATACTGCATCAAGCATACCGGTCGATTCGAAGGTTTGATCAAATCCAATTGATGGTGATTGCTACTAACATACTCCTACTCAAATGGTTCTTCTTTCGCTGGGGTTTTTGCAACCGTAGAATTAGCTCATCGCTTTACTAACATGGGCTTTTCATTTTCTGCTGCCTTCAACATAAAGCGGATGCCATCAAGTGCTTCCAATGCTCGGCCGGTCAGAGCATCAACTGCTCCGACGGCATGATACAGCTTGGCGGTCTGGTGCCGGAAGGCTGCGATCAGGTCTTCGAGGCACAGTATTGCGTTAAATCCACGGGACTCGCTGGTAAATTTAACCACTAACAAACTAATTATTACCGTAAACTGATAAAACGCACTTAATTTTACATTTTAAAATATGTATCAAGAATGAAAGGAATATATTGAAAGATATAAGTTGTAAGTGATATTTTATAATTGTACAAAAAAACGTTATAAATTGAGATTTATATAAATGTTCTTAAGCCACGAGAATTTAAGTTATATAACGATATTATTCGATATTGCAATTTACATATTGATAAAGTTATTTAACTTTAAGTTATATATATTATTGAAATCAGTTAAATTGTGCAAAAATTGAACTAAATTCTACTAAAAAAAGCAAACTAACAGGAGATCAGAATCAGTTTACGGAGATGTAAATAAATTGAATTTTCAAAGGAGCGAGAAAAAAATTAGATATTTTGCAGCATGATATATTATTACTAACTACTAATTAATACATAAAAGTTGCACTTTCAATACTTTTATAAACAAATTGTTAAATAATGTGAGTAACAAAAAGTGCAACTTGTATATGATAAATTGTAATTCTAACCAGACTCGTTTTCTTCACGAATCCTCCACATCCGTCTTCTAATGTAAATCCTTTGCCATTCTTAGGAGGAATCGGAGCGAAAAGATTCTGTTCGTCGCTGGATCTCGGAAACTACTGCAACTACGTGAAGCAGCCCGGAGATAACCTGGAGTTCTACAGGACGTGCGTCTTCACCTGCTCAGGAGACGGCTGCAACGCGTCGAGCACACTCCAATCCGTTCCGGCCTTCGTGCTCCTCCTCTTCGCAGCAGTTTTATACACAGCCATTTCACGATAATCACAAGTCTGATATTGTTCTAGAGAGTCTCAAAAATCCTGTAAATATAGAAATATTCCGATCCTGGATTAAAATAAGCTACGCTAATAACCTATGAACACGTAGAGTAAGCTAAGGGAAATAGAACGATAAGCTATGGAAAATAGAACACAACGTATTTTACTTGGGATTGGGATTATGTTATAAAAATTTTACAGTTACCATTGTTAAAAGTGTTTTTTTTTTGTTTCGTTTCTTATTTTTTTTTATTATTACAAATACGGTAGGCAAAATAATAATATTTATATATTACATATCTCCTTCTCCTCCTCTGATCCTCACATCCTCATTACGTCACTCCTCCTTCGATAAATGGAATTAATGCGATTAATAAAAAATATATTGTATAATATAAATTTGCTCTTCTCTTGTATCACACATCACACTTAACTTTAATACATTTGGGCGCAGAACGGGTGAAGCTCTGCGCGATAAAAAAATAATATTTATATATAAAATTAAATTAAAAAAAAAAGAAAACAATATTTGGTAACAAATAATAATAATAATAAAAATAACATATATAAAATTAAACTAAAGCCCCCATCATATTGTTTTTGTTGTATATTTATATGTATATATATAAATGTTTGTTTCGTTTTCGGAGAGATAAAATTAATTAAAGCATTATATGATTAAAAAACGAAATGGGAACACATTCGTAAAGAAATAAGCCACTCTTCATGAAAGCATTTATCCACCATACGTTATAGACGATGATCAAAGCTAAAGCATAGCTTCTGCGTTATTATTCCTCTTCCCTCGATCAATATAATCATATATCAAGTACGTAACATTGTTACACGTTATCGATGGCAGTGCATCATTTAGACTTAGTAGTAGAGTTTCGATCCTTTGCAACATCATTACATTTTTGATTGTGTAGATTCGGTGGCAATCTCTGTCGCGTGTCTTCCGAGATTTACAAAGATCATCATGACTCCATGATTGTTTGATTTTATGTTTTGTCGTTGAATCCAAAGAAATTAAGCTGGTTGATGCTCCGACGGCGCGTGTCGAGATGTGAAACGTGAAAATTTGTTGTTTTGAATTTGTTTAACTTACGACTTGCACTTCAGCAGGAGCAACCGGTTTTGCTCCTCCAGTTCTTTGACGCGCTTCCTTAACTGCCGGATCTCGTCGTTCTGCCTCACGAATGCTCGCTTCAGCTGCAAACATAACAGTTAGAACCCATAGAGCGGACACGTTGTGAACATTAATATTACCTCGAGTTCCGTGCAAATCGTGTCGTTGATGGTGTTGTTCTGCTTCATCAGGTCATCGGCATTTATGTCCTGCGCGATGTTGCTGAACTTTTGCTGGAGCTCGAAGAACTTGGTGCTCTGGTTCGTCGTCGTTTTCATGTTCTTTTCGATGATAACATCTTTGGGCCGGTAGTCAGGTATGGTTTCCGTGGAGAGGAAAGCGAATTTCTTCTTGTTGTTGTCCACCGAAGTGTTTATGGACGGAACAGAGTTAGTAGTGGGCGTAAGCGGTTTTAAAGCGCGCGGTTTTTGTAAAGGCACATTTTCGCCTAAAACATAAGACATTAACAAATTGAAATTCAATTGTAATTTTGCTATTTTACCGGTTCGCATAGAAATCAGTACTGGCATAGCGTTCCTCCCCGTGATCCAGTCCTGTCCGTTCATAGCCGGTTTAGTGCCGGCAGTGTCAGGGTAGAGATCTTCGTGGAAATGATCGCTTTTCCTTGGTACAATCATGCTGATTGGTTCACAGAGCCCTTTGGTCGCGTGCAACTTGTAGAACCGGAAGATCTCGCAATTGCCAGTGGTCAGGCCTCGCTTCGGCATGAAACCCAAACCCCTCTAGCAACAGAAAACCATTAGATAAACCATCAAGATTAACGCTCGGATTATATGATTACCTGGGGGTTTCCTGAAAGAAATTGGTTCAGGAAGTAAACGTACGGGGCTTCGTCCACCACCTCGTAATACCGGATGTTTCCGTCGCCCTTCCCCGCCAGAAACACGATGTTCGTGTCATGGTCATAATAAGGAAACACTATTCCCGAGGAACTATCTATGGTGTCCGTGTTCAGGGCCTTGCTGAGATCGTTTTGGTCCCAAATCGAATACTGCCGATCGGAATGTCGGGAGAATCCCGTCGTCAGGAGCCGTCCGGTAGCACCGAGGAAAGTCACCTTCGAAGCTTTGGATCCCGAATGACATACGCCTTCCTACATAGAAAAATCGTTTGTATAGAATTGTTCATGTAGTCGTGAGAAAAAGGTCAACTTACAGCGTTGATATAACCGCTTCGAGGTTCAATGATCCTCAACTTCTTGTCTTTGCACGTCGTCGCCAATAGGCTGCCGTCCCTGTTCAAGGACATACTGTAGATAACGTCCGGATGGGAATCGATTATGTTCACGGCTTCCCCCTTTTCAATATCCCAAACGATGACCTGGAATCATGAGATAGGGTATGTTTACTCAACCATTCATTGAATATTTTATAATCAAATTATACTACACTCGCTTATTTTCACATGAAAAAGACATACTTATACATAATTTACAAAAAAAATACATATTCTTAAATATTTAATTACTAAATAAATATTTAAAAACTTTACAATTATTTACATAAACAAAGGAAAAAGAATAAATTTATAATAAAATTGATATGCAGACTTTCGCCTATTTTATGTAATAACCGCAGCGTATTAGCATATAATTATTAATGATTTGATCGACGACTGGGAATTACGTAAAGCGAATTTTGCAAGACGAAGAAAGTCGTGCTCTATTGTTGAACTTATTCGTTCGTAGTTGAAGCCCACGCGATGATTCAAAGTGTACATTATAGAAAAAATAAACAGCAGAAGTAGAAAAAATATACGAGCAATTAACAATTATAATGAAAATAAACGTTGAAAAAGAAGTGAAATTGGATTAGAAATCCGAGACATCTGCTTCGCCGCAACTTTCGTTCTTCTTCTCTTTACATTATATTTATTTATTTTCCTTTTCCTTCACACAATTGACTTTCATATAATTAGCTCACCAAATGATCGAAGCCGGCGCTGAAGATGATGTTCTCCGCGGTTGGATGCCATTCGATGTAGGAGACGCGCCTCTTGTGTCCCACCAGCTCCACCATCCATTCCGTGAGGTGCACGGATAAACCGTCGTCGGGAATGCGCCACAATTTGATCTACAACATAGGATTAAGATTTCAGCTTATTACAAACAAGGATAATTATTAATTATTTACCGTGCAATCGTCGGAGCATGAGGCAATCACATTATCATCGAATGGATTCCATTTGATATCCAGGACGGCACCTCTGTGTCCGGTCACGCGGCTCGCGTTAAAATCCAACCTCCCCGTCTGCAGAAAACACCAAAGATTTACATAGTTTCTATTTAGACAACTAGGAGGTTAGCAGTAATTACGCAATCGATTGGCAGAACGACGAATGCTCCTCCTCCGGCCACCTCGGTGACGATGGCCACGAACTTGGGATTCACAGCACAGAACTGCGAATCGTGGGCGTTCTTCGTTATCTGCACATTGTCGTAGCACTTCTCCCGTTTCGCAGGTTCCCCATAGACATGTCGGAACTTCGAACTCCTCACCCCACGAAACCACAACTACAAAAGTCATATGAACATTAGGAGAAATCGCGCAACAAAAAAATATTTCAGCATCTAGATCAGTGATTCCCAAAGTGGTCTATATCGACCCCCAGGGGTCTATGACAACCTGCAAGGGGTCTACGTCAGCGGGGAAAAAAAAATTTGGGGGTCCATGAAATGAAAATGGGGGTCCACGATAGTGGATCTCAACCGGTGGCAATCGAAATCCAGACGTTCGAAATCGCGACTGTATCGAAATCCCGACTATATCAAAATCCCGACTGTATCTTTTACTATATATGACCA